GACATTATTGACAGAGGTGATGCAGAAGTGGTAAATGATGAGGGAACCAGTGGTGAAAAATGGTACATACCTCACCATGGGATCTACCACCCAAAAAAGCCAGATAAGCTACGGGTTGTATTCGATTGCTCTGCAAAATTCAAAGGTACAAGTCTCAATGAACATTTACTATCAGGACCAGACATGATAAACAACCTCACGGGAGTCCTTGTAAGGTTCAGAAGGCATCCTATTGCAGTGATATGTGACATTGAAAAAATGTTTCACCAATTTCACGTTCAGGAAAAGGATCGTGATTATCTGCGCTTCTTATGGTGGAAAGATGGAGAAACAAATTCAGTTCTTCAAGATTACAGAATGAAAGTGCGTCTATTTGGTGCAGTCTCTTCGCCCGGTTGTGCAAACTATGGGCTAAGATATTTAGCCAATGAGTACAGGCAATCACACGCATTAGGCGCTCAGTTCATCACAAGGGATTTTTATGTTGATGATGGAGTTACAAGTGCAGAAACAGTAGAAAAGGCTATACAGTTGACAAAGGAAGCACGGGAGCTGTGTGCAAAGGGTGGTCTTCGACTTCACAAGTTCGTATCAAATGACAACACAGTTTTGCAAAGCATACCAGAATCAGAACGTGCTGTAAACTTTGAAACGAAAGATCTCACCTTCAATGAAATGCCACTCGAAAGAGCTCTGGGAATTCACTGGAACATACAGAGTGATAGTTTCAAATTCCATGTTCCATTAAAGGGTCAGCCTACAACACGTCGTGGCATATTATCCACTGTTGCCTCCATATTTGATCCTTTGGGATTTGTAGCTCCATTTGTTCTCAATGGCAAGAGAATCCTACAGGAAATGTGTCGCCAAGGAACTGGCTGGGATGATACACTTTACCCTGCACTCAAGCCACGATGGGAGAGATGGCAAAATGACCTTGTCAATCTAGAAAATGTGAACATACCACGATGTTATGTACCTGCTGATTTCGGAAAAGTAGTGAAAACAGAAATGCATCATTTCTCAGATGCGAGTAACTGTGGTTACGGTCAATGTTCTTATCTGAGGATGATAAATGAGGATGATGAAATTCATTGCTCTTTTCTTATTGGCAAAGCCCGGGTTTCTCCTTTAAAGATTATCACAATACCCAGGTTAGAGCTAACTGCAGCTGTAGTATCAGTCAGTATGAGCAATATACTCAGAGAAGAGCTTAACCTCATTGATGTCGACGAATTCTTTTGGACTGACTCAAAGGTAGTTTTGGGTTACATTAATAACGATGCCCGTCGTTTCCACACATTTGTAGCCAATAGAGTCCAAAAAATACGTCAAAGTACAACACCCAATCAATGGCTGTATGTCCCAACAGATGAAAACCCAGCAGACAACGCTTCAAGAGGGAGAACAATCAATGAGCTGCTTTCATCTAATTGGTTCTCTGGACCTTCATTTTTGTGGGAAAAGGAAATAACAACCACAAATGTTGTGCTAGACCTCCCAGTCGGAGATCCAGAGGTAAAGAAAATTCAGACATTACACACAAAGACCATGGAAAATAAAGATCTTGTAGACCGATTGTCCAAGTTCTCATCTTGGTCTAAGACTATCAAAGCTGTTGCACGCCTTCAGAGATGGATTAAGAAAGATAAAACCAATTCACCAGCATCCGTAAGTGAACAAGAAGATGCTAAATGCTTCATTCTAAAAGGAGTACAAAGGCAAGTGTATCAGAAAGAGACTGAAGTGTTGAGTCAAGGAAAAAGACTTCCAAGTCACAGTAAACTTCATCATCTGGATGCCTTTATAGACAAAGATGGTATAATCAAGGTGGGAGGCAGATTAGATCACTCATCATATACTCACGCATTCAAGCATCCATGGATCCTGCCAAAGGAACACCATGTTACAAAGTTGATTATTGCACGCTGCCATGAATGTGTAAAGCATCAAGGCAAGGGTTTCACAATCAATAATATCAGATCATGCGGCTATTGGATACCTGGAATAAACAGAGTGGTCACATCTTACATTCTCAACTGTGTGACTTGCAGAAGGATGAGAAGATCTGCTGAAGGCCAGAGGATGAGTGATCTCCCCTCAGAACGTGTAGAGCCTTCGCCGCCTTTTATGTATTGTGGCATGGACTGCTTTGGTCCATTCATGACTAAAGAAGGGAGAAAACATCACAAGAGGTACGGTCTGCTTCTAACATGCTTGTGTTCAAGAGCTATTCATATTGAAATGTTAGAAGACATGTCGACGGATGCATTTATTAACAGTCTGAGATGCTTTATTGCAATTCGAGGCACAGTAAGGCAAATAAAATGTGACCAAGGTACCAATTTCATAGGCGCAAAGAATGAATTGAATTCAGCATTGCAAGAACTCGATCCAGAACGCCTCACAACTTTTCTTGCAAACAAACAATGTGACTTTGTTTTGAATGCTCCTCATTCCAGTCATGCAGGGGGTGTATGGGAGCGTCAAATCAAAACTGTCCGGAGCGTTCTTAATGCTACCATCACCCTTTCAGCAGGCAGGCTTAATGATGCCTCATTGCGCACTGTATTTTACGAAGCCATGGCAGTAGTCAATAGTCGCCCTCTTACGATTGACAATCTGAATGACCCCAAGAGCTTAGAACCACTCACACCCAATCATCTGATAACCATGAAGCCCACCACAGCATTGCCTCCACCAGGAAAGTTCATTAGAGAGGATATGTATACAAAAAAGAGATGGAGACGTGTGCAGTACCTTACTGAACAGTTTTGGAGCAGATGGAAAAAGGAGTATCTACACAATATCATTGCAAGGCAACGCTGGCATGCTCCACAAAGGAACCTTCAAATTGGTGATGTGGTCATGGATATAGAAGAAACATTGCCTAGGAGTGAATGGAGACTAGGGAGGATTATAGAGACTGTTCTGAGCCCGGATGGACTAGTGAGAAAAGCCAAAGTAGCACTTGGCGACAAGAGATTAAACAAGAAAGGAGAAAGAATGCATAAAATCTCAATAGTAGATAAACCCGCTCAAAAGTTGGTCTTGTTGTTGGAAGCAGAGTGAATGCATTTTCAATGGGACTTTATTGCACTTTATACACTTCCAAAGAGGGTTATAATTGGAAATTAGTTATGTTTGAGGAACATTGATAATTTGGTGGGAGTGTAACAGACTTAAGTAAAGGTGTTATCTTGCATTTCTTCATGTTTAAAGATCATTTAATTTCTATTATTTGTGGGGGACTTTTATTTTGAAAGGAAATCCGTTTTTCAGAGCAGAAAATAAATGAGAGAGCAGAATGAAAAGCGGACGTTTCATAACAGTTTAACTAGAGCTCGTACTGAAAAGGACGGTTTACAAGTTTAATCAGCAACCCCCCGAAAAGGCATAAGGTTTGTTTCATCATATATTGTTAGTGAGAAATACATATTTTGTGAAGATATCTAAGAATGCTGATGTATGTTTTTGTATTGGTTTGCTCAGCTCTTACGGTGATTTCAAGAGTAAAGGAATGTAAATAAAGCAACTTGAAACATCAGTAAAGTTTCGGCCATCATTCGGATGGGGTCTGCTACAAGTTGAATTCTTGAACTGATAAAAACAAAGTGCTGTTTTGATGTTCAAAATGCAGTAACTTCAAAGCAAGTTAGAATGTGGTGTTTGCTAGTCAAATGTTTAAATATGTTGTGTTTAGGTAAGTTTAAGACAACTTAGATTGATAGTCTTTATCCAACTTTGGGGGGAATGTCATGTACTATAATTGCATCTGTGTCTTTAAGACGGGAAACAGGTGGCATGATGGGAAGTTTTGTAATGTTACGGAGTTCATAGACACAAGAGAAGTAAAGAGTGGTGTTAAAATGTTAACCTGCGTGTGGCTGATTTAATTCAGAAGTATGTGCGATTTATGAATGAACATTTGATGATAAGACACACATACATAACAGCAGCGTTGATACATGAGGCCCCAGGTGTGGCCGTGCGTCACTGTCCCCCTGCCTGGACAAAACCACTTCGTCTGCATTTATGTTAAGTAAAGTAGTAAGTGCAGAGACTGAGTGGCGATAATGAATAATTAATGATGGCAGCCCGTCGCTCCCAAAAACATTAGAAGTTGATTAAAAGTATGGTAATTAGTGTGGGTTAAGCTGAACAATTCCTTATTATCCAATTTGTCATGCCAGTTTTCATTTTAAGGCATGGTTTGTTCTCTTTTTGTTTTTTATTTTGCGCTCCACGTCTCTTACTCTTCTCTCCATTTTAAACATGTGACTGTAACCGAGCAACGGTAATGGTCAACCAAGAGGGAGGGGTGGTATAATTTTTTTTATTCAATAAAATACAATTGTATATTTATATAAAATGCAGGATAAACATTTTAACCAAAAATATGTATATATATTTTTAATATGTATAATAATATGTATAATTTCAAAAATAGTTTTGGCACAATGGCGCCCCCGCCCCCCCATGTGTGCCGCCCCTATGCGCCGCATATACTGCATACCCCCTTTTTGCGCCACTGATATTTATTACATGTAAAAAGATTTTTATTAAATATAAAGATGTATTATTGCCTATTAAACCTGTCCAATTTATATCGTTCAGGAAGGCCAGCAAACGAGTATCTGCTATATTGACTCTGTCAGATAACAATGACTGATTATCTATGATGACTGATAGAAAACTTCAGTCTAATCATACTGAATGGCGATCGGAAACAACGCTCCCCATTCACTCCTCTTGATCACAATATTTGTGAAATAATACAATATTTATTATCATTTCATTTTCTTGTCGGCTTAGTCCCTTTATTAATCTGGGGTCGCCACTGCGGAATGAACCACCAACTTATCCAGCACATGTTTTATGCAGCGGATCCCCTTCCAGCGCAACCCATATTTATTCACAATATACAATTAGATGTCCGACAAGACGTTATAACATTAACATCCGTCGTAACCATATATGGTTGACCTAGATCGTGTGTGCTAGATCTTGTGCTAGATTGTGTGTGCTAGAAACGTGTGGTTCTGCGGGTCTGCAGTTAGATATTGTTGCAATATATGTGTGCTGTCTGGATCAATGCATTTCATACAGACTGTCAAACTCCGAGAAGAGCAGGCTAACGCAAAATGTATTAAGGATTATAAAGCTTTATGTTAAACACTTTTATAAACTTAAATATCAAAGACATTTAAATCATATTTACATTCGACAAAAAAGTAGCAGTTTCCTGTTTCACTCACCTTCAATAACAACCTGTTATAAACCGAAGACCTGCGTTAAGACTGAGTTGATGGAGTTTTAATCCTCTTTCTTTCAACTAGCATGTAAACTCCTGGTTTGCTGTTATAAAAGTTCATGTGAACTATTGTGATGCTCCATAATGAAGACTAACGGATCAACTCGACGACTCAACTTTGCTTTGACTTTGTATTTGTGACGTCGGGATGGTGACGTCATATTACGCTCGGTGGTTAGGCACAGTGAAGTTAGGCATTCGCCTTCATTTTAAAAAAATGTAAAAAATAAAAATAAGTAATAATAATAAAATAAAAATAAAGATTCAGTTAGCCAAACATATTATATTGATCTGCACTGGAAACATTAAAGGTTTCTCATTGCAAGATGTTTGGAAATCACTAGTTGCCACTAGAGGGCGTTGAAGTTTTTGCATGAACACACACAAATTTATTTAATCCCCAAAAGACTAAAACAATCTACAGATTAACTTTTAAAATTTGGGTAATTTTGTTATCCCTCGCTGGACGATATATATGGAGGGCGGAGGCAATTAAAATATTGAAAACCCCTTTGGTGTTAAATGTACCAGTCTGTACTTCTAATAAATGTCCACCAGGTGGGGCCACAACTTTTCTAAAACAGATCTTACCTTAAAAATAATTTAAGTATTTAACGTAAAAAGTTATCTTTTTTTATAATATTTAATAAACAGTGGCTAAAGGCCTGTGGCACGATATGGGATCAATTTGGAGAATATACATGGTGGATATTTTCCTGTCATTTAACTCAGACATGTCAAAGAAAGCTTTTGGTTGAGGAAACTCTCTCACACTCTCTCTCAGAGTATTTTACCACAATCTCTGATGCCTTTTCCTGATTCTGCTGTTAAATTTAGGAATATTTTGAGCATCTCGCTGAATGTTCTCGCGGGCCTGAAAGAGAAAGAACAGAAAGACCGGAGGAGTTTTACTACAATGAAACGCAAACTGATGCTGATGCTGCTCGCGCTCGGGCAGCCTTTAACATATATTTGCACATATCAATAAAATATGATTAAATTATTATAAAAAAAACACATTAAACCAAATCAATCATTGGATAAAATTGAATTGGTAGAATCTGAGAGGGTTTTTAACATGACCATGAACGAGCTGAACTCATCCTTGGTTTCAGAGAGTTTTGAAAACATAATTTCTGATTAGAGACCGTTTTTGTCAACTAAATGTGTTACTTTATAATGAAAGTATGGTGAAATGTTATTTTAGCGCTTTTTTTAAAGAAAGAAAGAGTAAGAATTAGGCTTAAATCGTAATATATTACCTTTTTCCCCAACACTGACTGCAGATCAAGTTTACTTCACAAATGGCCAACTCTTTTAGTTCTCACAGGTGTTTTGAGATTAAATACTGAATGACAGATTTGATCTACTAATGAAAATTTACACAGGATGCTGTGAGCCAGTTTCTGTAATACATTAGATTGTTTATTCCTCTGTCACAGTAAGAATCATACTGTATGATAGCAGGGATGGGCTAAAATACATTAAATATAAAATAAAATACCAAATATCAGCTTTAAGTGATTCAAAATAAACTACAAAATACAGAAGCCACAAAATGCATCAAAATAAAAAATACAGTATTTTTTATTTTAATTACTACAAAATACCTTTAAAAGGAAGCCTGATTATCAACCAATAGGACTCAATCCCGTGACCACTAAAATGACCCAGTGAAGTAAACAATGTCCGATAGTAACAGCTTTTTCTCTTCTTACATAACAATGTGCACACATGGATGGGTTAAACACAAAGGACAAATTTCAAGTTAGCATAAAACCATGACAAGTCACTTCACTTCACTTCTACTCCTACTGTACATGAGCAGATCTTCATAAAGAAACTCAGCTAAAACTAGTGTTTCTCTTTTTAGTATAATTTTTTTAGATTTTAGTATAAATTTAGTCCACATTTCATTCTGAAAATCCTGTCTTGAAGATGATCTCCTACAGTTTAATGGGAAAAAACGAATGGGAAGCTGATTGGCCTGCCAGATGGCCAGTCCACCCCTGGATGTTAATATTTGTGAAAAATCCAATTATCAATACAGCACCTTTAGCAGTTCATGAGCACACTAAACACAGAGAGTCCTGCAATAAAACACACACACACACACATACACAGCAAAATATGAGGACCCAAAACAACTCTATGGGTGTTAATTTCAACACTTTGAAAGTGTCTCATGGGGTCCACTCAAAACTTAGTTAAATTAACACTTTCAAAAGGGTTGGCACATTGACACCGAAGTAAGGGTTAATTTTAACTCTGGGCAGAGTTAAAAATGTAACTATATTTAACACCGCCTGGTAGTAATTTTTTTACTACAATATGTTGTTATTTTATTCAACTCTCTTGAGTGTAAATATGGTAAAAAGGTCAAATAGACTGTAAATTACAAAAGAAAAAAACATTTTATTTGAAAACATTCACCGCTTCAACAATTCATTCAGTTTTTAAAATGCAACAATGTCAAATATGCTTTAAATTTTTTATTAGTACAGACAGTATCAACAAAATAGTTTCAGTCCTTTAGTCCAAACTTGATGTTTCATCAGTGCAATTTGAAAGTTCAATATAGTGTCACTCATAGTTTTCTGCTAAACGCATAGTTTTCTTCTGAAATGACATTTTAAACTTGGCGTGCAAATCTTTCACTTCTGGTGTTTCCTTGGTCCTCCATATCAAACACAGCAGTTTATGAGGGTATAAATGCTGTAAACTTGTGTGAAAACAAACTTTAGCTAGGAAATCTCATCAAGCATGTCCTGTGAAAGATGTGCTTCCCAGCCACAGGATGACCGTTTTATCCATGATGATGTAGTAGCTGCTGATCGCTCGTCTGGTGGTTCCTGATGCACGGATATAGGGTGAAGCTCATCTAAGAACTCTTCAAGATTCCAGCATGACTAAGAAAAATGTTTGAAAACAAATTGCAATCAAATTCTATGATATATTTAAAAGAACATTTAAAGTAAATAAAACATTTAAGAAATCTAAACTCACCTTTTGAAAATCTTCATGATGATCCACAACTTGACTCTCCCAGCTGGTTGAGGTGACAGGATATGGAAAAGTAGAAAAAACACATACATCACTGTTGGATCTCCAAAAACAATTAGGTTAACCACTATGACTAGAACTGGAAAAACAGGCAGCTGTCTGTCCAGAATCCTGAATTTAACACAACACTTGGAGCAAAATTTAGAGGAGCTTAAAATCTTTTATATCAT